TGATGCTCTCAAGAAATAGCCTGAGCATTGTGGTGCTGTGACACAAGAATTCAAATCCCACTCTCTGTGTCCAGGATAGGTTTCAGAAATAGCAGGGAATTGTGGCACTGCTCTTTCCCAGGGTCTGACCCTAAGTAGCCTTTCCCTTGCTGCTTTGCATGCTGTGGCTGAGAGCTGCTGTGGAAAGGCCTGTGTGAAGTGACTCACTGCCATGTTAACACAAAAGTGCACAACACAAACACTGTTGCCATCTTAGTTTAATTTAATGTGGTCCAACAGATGGCCAGCAAGTCAGATCTGGCCTGCTGCCTCTTCTCTGGCTGAGATGGAGAACAACTGTTCCAACAGCAGATGCTGCCTAAACACTAACACCTCCTTGTCCCCCTGCTATGCTCTAATGGTGTGGCTTTGCCCTCCAGGAGCCCCTCTAATTTCCCTCACCACCCTTCTCTGTCCTGACCCAACAGGTACAGTTCCTGACTCTCTGTTTCAAGAGAATTCTGTTATGCTGTTGAGAGAGGAGCCTGTGAATGCCAGGCTGCTCTGCCTGCATCTGCCATTAACTTGCCAGGTTGCCTTTGCTGGCCAAATACAGCTGGGTTTTATGAACTGAAATTCCCTCTTATCCCTAGTGCTACTCCTAGGGCCTGACATCCTGAGAAAGTGCAGCCAAAGAGGAAGGTCAGAGCATACTGCACTATTTTTATTTTCTTCAATTGAAGTATATATATTACTGGTGATTTTTTTTTTTTCTCCCCAGTGTTCAGTTTCTGCAGTCTGGGTTTTAACACCATTTTCTCTTTCTGTTTATTAGCCTAGGTAGCTAAAATGTGGGGGCAGATTCATTTTTGTTCCATCTGTGTTCTTGGAGATACTTGTGTATCATAGTTCTGGTTGCAGTGAAGTCATGAAAGACTTTTTAAAAATCCATTAATCTAAAAACAACATAGAAAAGTTTCTCTTGATCATGTGCTAAGTTTACTCTTGCTGACTGTTCAGTTGAGGCCAAATTTAAATTGAATTTCTCTTCTGAAATCAGCTTTTCCAAGATGTCTGTAATATCTCCTTTATCAGTGTGTGAATGTGAAGAAGCTTTACAACACTGGATTTTCCAGAGAGTCTTTTTTTCTTTGCTTTATAGCCAGAAGTTAAAAGAGAAGAAACTGCAAGCTAAGAAAAATAAACTTGAACAAAAGAAGCAGGAAAAAGGTCAGTGAAATTTAGTTTACTTTTCTCAGGACTTGGTTCTGTTTCCTTATTGAATCTTAGGTTTTGTTCCAGCCTCCCATCCCAAGCATTCTCAATACATGGATTAGAGCCTGAGCCTTAAGCTTGTTATTTTAGCTAATGTTTCAAAATCCTCTTTGAAAGCCATCTATGTTGAGATTTAATCTTACAAATAACTTGGCTGTTTGTGAATATTTTCCATTTATTAGGGGGAATTTTGGACAGAAAACTCTTGGTTTGTGGATGTTTTGCTCCAGCTATTCTGATGAGCTGCAGATTCAGAACCTCAGCAGCTCAGAAAGACAGGATTTTTCAAGGCTGTGCTTTTTTAAAGTATATTTGGAATGTGTATGGGAAAACGGTGGAAAAAAAAAAAGCACAGCTTGGGCAGCAAGAAACTGAGTTATAATTTTGTGTGTAAGAAATTGAGCCACCTTGATACCATCTGTTCTACAGGACTATTTCATTTCATAGAAATGAAGGTGAAAAACCTGACTGCCTCTTCTCTTGCAGTCTTGAAAATTAATGTTCAACAATGTCAGTGTAACTGTTTGCTTAAACTTTTGCATACTTGTTCCTTCTTCTCAGTGAGTATATTTGGGCTCACTATTTCAAATAGTTGTCCCTTGTGAATTAGCACACAAATGGTTAATGTTAAAATTACAGCAGTTTCTGGTAATTCTGCTGGAACAGTGACTTGCCTGACAGTTCTACCTTATTTGTGCTTTGCTTTTCAGAATTGGATCTGTTTCAGCTGAACCACTGCCAGCCTCCCATGTAAACACGGGAGGACAAATTGTTAGGTTAATTTTACTTGTGACAGCAAGTGAATGTAGCAGAGTGAATTTTTTGGGTGTTTTGTTTTGGTCTTGTTTTTTTGTTTTTTTTTTTAAGCTACTCATTTATGAATTGTAACTGGGAGGAGAATTTAAGTATGAGTCAACATACTTTTGTTCATTTTGAGTGAGCAAACAGAATACCCATCCCTTAGGGAGTGGCTGGGAGAGAGGAGAGCTGGATCAGGGACTGGCACTGTGGTATTGGATTGCCCTGTACCAGTTGTGGGGCTGGAGTGGTTTTGTTTGGCACAAGTTCCTGAAAGACAGAATCCAAACTCCCTGGTCTTTGCAACAGTTCTTAACTCTTTACAGTCTGTGGTTCTCTATATAAAATAATAATATCAGGGGGGAGAGAAGCCCCTCTTAGCCATTTTTAGTGAACTGAGAACAATCTTTCCTTTTGTAGTTTTAATTGCCCTGGGTTGTGATCTGAGAGTTTTTTTCAAATTAATTAAAGTGTATTTGTTGGATATGGCAAGAAAACATTTGTCTTCCTTTTTTAATTAATAAATTAAACCTCTGAATTGCCATGTTTCATCTGTGTTGTAGTAAAATCACTAAGAATAAGGGTTGGCACTAAATGAGATCAGCCTTTGAGGTTGCATTACAAACTCCCAATAAAGGCTCAAAGTTCAGCACTTCACCACGCGGTGGCATCAGACCACTGAGCCTAAATCCCGCATGAACTGTTCAGGACACTGAGAATGTGACTGGGCCTGAGGAATAGGGAGAGACGAAAAATGGCTCTTAGATTCAGGTCCCACTTTATGCCATACCTCATTTTTATTATCGGTTATTTAATTTCTAGTAGATGTTACCTTTTTTTTTTTTTAGCAGACTTCACAAGTTTTCTGTGACCCTTGTTAAATTTAGGCATATCTTAATGAGTTCCTGTACTGGCAGTATAGCAAACAGGCCTGTAAAAGTTTATGGCACCTCATGGAGTTTCTGTGAACTTGGATAGGTTGTAGGAAGATATTGATGATGATGAGTCTTGCCTGTGGCTTCCCAGTGCTCTGTGTCATCCTTCAAAGCTCATCCCAGCCTGGAGAGGTGAGATTGGGAATGAGATAATCTATCACCTCAGTGTTTGACTGTCTCTGTTAGAAACAGTGTTCCAGAGGAGGTGGAGTTGTTTAATGATGGACGTTGTAACATTGGAGATAAGGGAATTCCCCAAGGGAGAATTTGATATTCTGAGCTCCTCATCACTCAGCAGAATTAATAGAACCTGATTCATGCTCCCTGAGTATCTGGGGCTGCTTAGTTGTCAGATGCTTAACAAGGAAGACACAGGGGAATATGTTACCCATCTGTGCTAGTTAGCCTGACCTAATCCACATTTGCTGAGCACGTGAGAGTGTTTTGTTGTGAAATGTTTGGCAAGGAAGCCAGGTGGGAGCACCTCATCCATTCATCCTGTTTGTATTTGTAGAACCTGGGCAATCCCAAGAGCAAGGCAGCAGCGAGGATGACGAAGAGGATAGCAAGGAGGAGGAAGAAAAGGAAGATGATGCTGAAGAGCCAAGTTTTGTGATGGGAAGAGGATGAGGCCTTCCAGGAACAACTGGAAACACTGTTCATTGCTTTATATTCAGGAGCATGAAAGTCTTTCATCTCAGCCAAGCAGAACCCATTGGCGTACGTTACATCTGCTTAACGGGGCATGGCCTTCACGTCACAGGCCTGAGAGAAAATGATAGAGAAATGCCAAATAAGAGATTTTTTCTTAATTGCTTGTATAACTGCTGTGCAGTCTGCTCTAAGTTTGCTCTAAAGAGTCAGCCATAAGTCTCTATGACCCTAGAGTTCTTTCTAAAATGGCCCAGAGTGTTTTTCTGTCTGAAAGCTAAAAAATAACTATTACCATTTAAGGGAAATATTACTGTGAAGGCTACGTATTCTACTTATCTTGAAGCTGGTAGCAGTGGGTTACATGAATCTAGGGGAAGAGTTTAACCTGAAGTAGAAAAGTGGTCTGTAGCCAGACTCTCCTGCACTGTGAGTGTTCTGCATTTGGGGTTTTGTATGGGGTCATCTCTAACCCAAAGAAATCAGTTTATGTTGCTAGACAAGTTCTATAGATTTTTAATCAGGATCCCTTTTTTAATGCTAAAACTTTCCCTATTGCTTTTCTTCCATGTTTTCTAAATTAATAAAAGGGATGTGTTGGATTGTTCTGTCTTCTATTTTTCTTTTTGGAAGAGGATGTCAGTAAAATAAAGAGATGCTGCAGTGCTGCAGGAAGGGACAAAGAGATTGAGAGATATGGCACACATGAAAATATGGAAAAAGGTGTTAGCTGCATGTCACTTTTTGCTTTTGAATTGGAACAATACCTTTTCCCAGAGATTGTGTGTAAAGCCTCCAAATCCTGTGGCAGAAAGGCTTGGAATGGAATCATTTTGCTTGTGCTCAGCTTCCTGTAATGACACCTGCCTTTCTCTCTGCTTGAGCGCTCTGCTTTGCACTTTGGATTCCCTGGTAGGAATCGTAACATCTCTCTATATATTTACTTATTTGTGCTTAAAGCATATACAGTGGTGGTTTTACTTGTAACTCTGGTTTTTGTCTCTTCAGTGTATCTTTAATTAGAAGTGCCTGCTGGCTTTCAGACATGCTCATCCCAGAGCCTTGCATCCAGAACGCGGTGCTACTTCTTCTCAAGCCTTGGTTAATGCCAAATTATTTTAAGCAAAAACAGTAAAAAGGGAGAATCTCTTTTTAGATTTCGTCTTTGTTGAATAGTGCTGCCAGAAATCCTGCTTTTTGTCTGAGCTGGCTTTATGTAATGGCTTCTCCATGGTATTACCGTGGTGGCCTGGAAGCCAATGTGACCAAGTGCAAGTGATGTTTGTGCTTAGTTCCCCTGTGCATATCCAAGGGCTTCAGAGCTGGATAACTTCTGACCTGCCAGGTCCATATCCCTGCTGCCCTTCAGGTTAGAGATCTGCATGGAACTGTTTTCTGCTCAGTCTCCATGGGGGCAGGTGCTGCAAGTTGTTGCAGTGTTTCATTCAGATGCAGGATTCATTTTCCCTGTGGTGAGATTAGTTACGAGCCTTGCTCCACATGAATCCCCCTCAGGGCAGGCAAACCCTGTGAATACTGTGTTGTAGCATGAGCCACAGAAACGTGAGGGTTTTTTATGGGCAGAGAAGAATTGAGAGTCTCACAAATAAAGATGTTCTGCCTCTGAGCTTGTCAGGCCTTTGAGCTGAGTAAGTGCTGTTCTGCATTAAGCAGAGCAGATACTGCTGAGTGAGAACACGCTTCCCTCAGCCATGAGGAAGGTGAACTCGAGTTTGTCTTGGTGATTGAACAAATTCAGGTTGTGTGGCCCCATCCTGCCTCCCTAAGACGCCCGCGCTGAATTATTCATGCTGTGTTTTCTGGGAATGCTGAGTTTGTAGGTGAAATCCATAAACAGCAAAGAGAGCATGTTGGTGAAGGTGGCATCTGCCTCACGCTCTGTCTCGCTGGGGTGGCTGAGTGTAGCAGTAGGAGCTGCATTTGGTAGGTGTAGCTGTGAATTCCCATAAACACTCTGCCGTGTTGTGCTTGTTTGTGGCAGTACGAGCTCGTTGAGAATACAAAGCACTTCAGAGGGAGGTTTCAAGAGATGTTTCTTCGTTTAGAATAAAATGCAAATACTATGTGACCTCAAAATGGGGAAAACCTCATCCATGGAGTAGAAAGGGGAAATGCTTCCATGCATAGTAAAATGCTTCCTATTCCAAATAGGGCACCAACAAATCAGTAATAACTTACAGGCTTGAAACTGCCAAGGAGTTTGACCTGCTTACACTAAATTCGTGCTCTGGGTTCTTTTCTAGAGGAGTCCCTCTCCTTTCTCTGATGGAGATTAACCCTCAAGGGCTAGTTTGCTCTGTTCCATTTCTACATGTGTCTGTGCAAATGTGGGACCCCGAGAGACATCAGTGTTTGTGCTGAAACCAAGCAGGGGTATTCCTGCTCTCAGAGGTGAAAAGCACACTCAGGATAACATCTGTCTCTTTATTAGGTTTCTAAGAATTTAAGAATGTTTTCCTTTGTTCCCTCCCCCAGGCAGAATGGAATTCAGGAAGATGGGATTACCCTGTGATAAAGCTGACCTATTGTGCTGCCTTTCAGCATTTTCTTTATCTCATTTCCAGGGAAGGAACTCCCTCTCTTTCCCATAAGGCTGTCCCTGTCCTTTTGATGGGTTTATACAGGATTTCCTGCTGAGTCAATAGCGGAGGAGTGCAGGGAGATAGCAGTCGGGATTCGCAGGGAGCCTGTGCTCAGCCAGAGGAGGTTCAGCCCGGCGGAGGCAGAGCAGCGCTGCCTTTTGACTTATGTAAGTGGCGACTTTTTGCTGTATATTTAATAATTGTAATAAAAGCACATTTGCATCCCATTGCACCAATACCTTCTCTGTGACAAATTTAGAGATAACGCAAGGTCCAGACCCACTAATATCTTTACCAGTGGGTGGGTTTTAGCCCGACTGAGACTTTAGGGAGCCGGAGACATTTTTTATCCCCTACAGATGCATGCTCACAGCGGGACCCCCGATCGCTGCGGGAACGGCTCCGTGCCGGGGGGATACCCTTTCCCTGTAACCGCTGAGCCCATCGCCGTTTCGTGGGAACCCCGGACCCCCCCAAACGGCTCCCCCGCGGATGCAGGGGGCGAGCGTGGCCCCGGTTCCCCGGGAGGGGCGGGGGGCGCCGGCTGCTGCAGGGCGGGGGTCGCGTCCCCAGGCCCCGCCCCCGCCGCCGAGGGGGCGTGGCCAGTCCGGCCGCGGGCCAATGAGCGAGCGGTCACGTGCGGGGGCGTGGTGGTGCTGCCCCCCCCCCCCCGTTTCCTGCGGGTCACGTGGCCGGTGCCCGGCGTTGCCGTGGCAGCGGCGGAGGCGGCTCCGGCTCCCGATCCCGCTCCTGCTCCGCTCCCGGTCCCTCTCCCGGGGCTCCCGGCACGGCTCCCGGACAGCAGCGCGGTGAGACACGGCCCGCCCCGGGGCCGCATCCCGCCCGCAAGGGGGCTCATCCCCAACGGGGCCCGCGCTCTGGGGCTGCGGGCGGCATCCCCTCAGGCGTGTTTGGGGGGTGGCGGGCTGGTCCTGCAGGCGGGGGAGCACCTCCTGCCCGCGGAGCTCCGGGAGGAGGGGGTTTCGTCCTGCCCGAGGTGCTGGGGGAGTTGGTTTTATCTTGCCTGAATAGAGATTCCCCTGCCTGGGGCGGTGTGGGGGGAACGCGCCTCGTCCTGTCCGGCCAGGGGGAATCCCGTGTCGGGATGGTGGTGATGGGATGCGCGCCTCATCCTGCCAAGCTGGGACAATCCCCTGCACCTGGAGGGAGGGGGTGAATGGGAAGAGAAGGGGGTCCCGTCCTGTCCGGCCGTGCTTTGGAGGTGCCGTGGCATGCAGAAGGCAGGCCAGCAGCTCCCGTGGGATATATCCGGACAGGACGCTGGGGTGCTGTCGGGGGGACACCTCCAGCATACGGTGCAGGGAAGGTACACCTGGCCCAGGGTGCTTTTGGAAGACGGGATCGAGGGGTTGGGTCCCATCCTGCCTGAGGAGTTGTGGAGGATCCTTGCGATGCTGGATCAGGATGCAGTGGTAGGAGGTTGCGTCCTGCCTAGGAAAGATCCTTTGTCCAGGTTACCTTTGGAGGGAAAGGTCCTCACTGGGAGTGGGTCTCATCCTGGCTTGAGGGATCCCCTGTCTGAGGCTGCTGTTGGAGGGGAGATTCTCGCTGTGTGGGATCGCCTCCTGCCCAGGGTGTGCTGAGGGTGGCTGGGAAGGAAGCTCCCTGTGAGGAGGATCCCAGCTGTGCTGGTGGGACCAGGGGGTCACATCCTGCCTGGGAAGTGATCCCCTACTGTCACAAGGGTGGGTGGTCACAGCTATGGGGTGTTCACACTCCGCCCGGGTACTGCTTGGAGGAGTCCCAAGAAAGGAACATGGGAAGGGGTTTCCCAAGGCAAAGACGGCTTGAGCTCATCGGGGTGGAGTAACAGGGTTTGAGGTTTGGCTTAGCCATGCCTGCAGGGGCTTGACCAGTGTTAGACAGGGAAGGAAGGGACTGGCACAAACCCCCAGATCAGTCCGGGGGTGTGGGGCAGAAACCTGGGACTGAGGAGGGGCCTGGCATCCCAAAAACAGGCAGAGGAGCTGCCAGTGCTGCAGAGACAGCGCTCTGTGGGCGACTGAGCACGGCAGTGGTGGGAGGGGGATCTGCTCAGCTCGGCCCTGGTGGTGTCGGCTTCATTCCCAGCTGTGGAGAAATCCCCACATGTGCACTGAGATGTGAGGAGGCAAAGACTTTCTCTTTTCCAAAGGACAGTGCTTGGCAGGTTAGGAAAATCCACATAAGGGAGCAATCACAGAGAGCTTTCTGTCCTCCCAGTGCGAGATGAAGTGGGGCCAGATGCGTCGGTGGTGCAGTGGAAGTGAGTGAAGACACAGCTGGGATGGACTTAGCCAGGGCTGCCTGAGAAAAAGCTCTCCTGGAGAATTCCTCACTCCCCATCCAGAACTAAACACCCCTGTGCAGTCAAACCCTGTAGAATAGTTATTTCTATAAGAACAAGTGTCCTAAACCTTTAATTTTGCAAGGCAGGAAGGTGAAATCTCCAGAAAAAGCTTCCCCTGATGCAGATGACAGGCTGAAAAGTATTTCCAGAATAAAATTGCTCCAGCTCCAGCTCATGTAAACTGCTTCTTTGGTCTTGTGTTTCAGCCCTTGGAGCCCTCCACCCAGTCCCTCCATGTCCATAGCCAGCAAGGTGAGTTTGACTTCCTGGCACTGCTTGTTTGGGTTACATTTGTGTTTATGGATTTCATTCTGAAGCTGTTTACTTATTTGAGAACATCTCTTGAGCTGCTCCAGAGCGAAAATTCAGCCTCATGGTATTTTTAGCTTATTTTTCTAAGGGAAGAAGCAGATGTGATTGGGTTCTCTTGCCCTCTCTCTGTAACCTCTGAATTCATTTGTCTTTTTAATGGAATTTGTACCAGGGGTCAAAGTTTCTTACATAGAAAGTTCCTAAGTATTTTATGAAAACAAATGACAGAGACCACTGTCCCAGCTGGGGACAAAGGGAGTGAATTCATTCCATGCTATATATTGCAGGATCCACACAGGATGTTGTCACAAGAAACAGCTTCATCATTTTGCTGCTCACAGATTGTTTCTTCCTCCAATCCTCCCAGGAGGCTTTTTTATTCTGTAAAATAGGTGATTCTTGCCTTTTCTGGAAACACGGATCAAGCAGGAAGATTTGTCCCTGTTATTGTTTCTCTTCTTGTTTTTATTATAGCATGAATGTTCTAGTATGCCTTTCTTTTCTGTTTGTTTGTTTGGGGGGGTTGGTTTTGTTACTTTTAAATATTTTGAAAATTCCTGAGCAGTCAGGAGCCTTCTTGGAGTGTGTTCCAGGGGCTGTAATAACAGCCTTGTCAAAACCTGCCCAGGAATCATCCTGTGCTGCCATCCTTGTTATGTCTGAGGGGACTGGAACCTGAAAACCCCGCCGTGTTCAGGAGGAACAATCTTGGACCTGCAGTGCTTTATTTGCTATTCTTTGTTATTGTGCCTGAGACGGCTTCCTTCCCTTTTAGTAACAGCATTCAGAGTTGTGGGCAGTTGGATGTTCTTTTGATCTTTGCCACTTCTCCAAGTCTCCCAGCAGTCATGGCTTTATTAGCTGTCCACATGTGGCCCCTGTACGTGGGGAGCTGGGGGGACACAGGCAGGGCTGAAAGGTGCTTGTGACCTTGAGAGGTGGTGCTGGGACTAATTAGTGCCACACCAGGTGTGATTCTGGGCAGCATCTCCTCATCCTGGGAGCTGGGGAATTTTTTATGGCCAGAAGGTGCCGATCTGGTGTCTCTGCTTCCACCACAGCGCTCAGCGGTGGAGTTGTGAGTGAGGGTATTAAACAAGGAATCGTGGTTTCCGTTCTTTGGAAGGCTGAGTAAGTTTCAGATGTCTGTCAGAGCTGAGAAATTTTTGCACAAAACATTCCATGGATGTTGTTCTGTGTCTGGGGATCACCAGAGCCATTTGGCAACAGCCTGGGGATGTGGTGCTGTAAGGCTTCCACCACTTGAAATACTCTTGATGCTTTCATACATCTCTCAGTGTAATCCCTTGAATCTGAAGATGATGGAATTTCCTGGAAGCAGCTTGCTTTCCCCCTCGAAATTGCCTTTTCCTTTCCCTGTGCTCAGAGCCACCGGTGGAAGTAAGGGAACAAGATTCTTGGCCAGATGTGGCTGATAAATGGAGTGTGAGTAGCTCAGGAAATTTAACTTCCCACTGCAAAAGCTTGGGAAGTTCATTTGTTAACTCTACACAGCATTCAACTCTGTCATTATTGGGGGAGTTTGGGGGAGAACTGTGCTCATTTAAACCGAGCATTGATGAGCAGTGGTTTAACTGAGAGAAAAACTGGTGTGCTGGTTTGAAAGTAAACCAGGGAGAGAGATTAACCCCCACACAAATCCCGTGAGACAGACTTCAGGCCAGAGTTACAATTAATAGAAATATTACAATAGATGCAATGATATAGAAAAAGTGGCTTAAACCCTGGATAACAGAGTACAAGCTGGCCCGTGTTGGTCAGGGTGGTGGCTGCAGTCTGATTAAGCAGTGGTTGCAGTGCTGTTGGAGTTGGTTGTAGTTTTTGGAAGGCGATGGTCCTGTGGATGGTCTGGTCCTCCTGTGGAAGTTCGTGTCCTCCCCTGCCTGTCCAGTGGTGGTGGTGCTCATGTCCTCCCCCAGAGCGGGGAATTTCACAGTGGAATGATGTGATCCTATGAGTCACTGGATATTTTGGGTCCTGTTGAGCCATTACAGCCCATTGGCAGGGATGACACCCGTGGGCTGGGTGTAGTTATCACAGCTGAGCGAACCGATTTGTGAAGACAAAGAAACACCACCCTGCCATGCAGGGTTTGCCTCCTTCCTTTATCTAACACCCAGCTTGCAACCTGGGGGATTGCATCTCCTGCAAGCGGCCATTAGCAGTTCATCACGAATAATGTCGGTGGGAGTAGAATACACAGTTTGGTTTCACCCCACATTGTAACCCAGGAGGAATAGTTTCCAAAGAAGGAGCAAAAAGGTTTGTATTTTTTTGGTTTGGTACTCTTAAAGAGATGCATTTGGAGCCAGCCCATGATGCACTGGGATATGAACTGTCAATTCAAAGATAAGATGGGGGGCCAAGTGTATTTATGTAAAAAAATTTTTTATGAGCGAGAAGGAATTAAAGGGCAAAGTTGAGGTGCCTGCTCTGAAATGAAAATCCAGATGCTGTGCAGCCTTCCTGAATTCCTGCTGGAATAGTTCCCGGGTGTACTTTTGTAATCTTTCCTGGTTGTCGTGGTAATTTTTGGCAATTATGGATGGTCTTTTCTCAGTTCTGTCTTCCAAGTGTGATGTTATTTGGTCTATCATTTTCCACTGACTAAGGGCAACTGTGTTCAACTGCAGCTTTTCCAGTAGTTGATGCTCATCCTGTCCACCACCCGCTCTTGAACACGACTGTTTTGTTCCCTCAGCATTTCTCTCACCATGAGTTCTGAATTAAACGTTCCGGTGGATCCTTCCACTCCTGCTTGCTGCTCTGAGCCTGGCACAAAGGGCATGGATTATCGGGACTGGGTCCGGCGCAGCTACCTGGAGTTGGTCACCTCCAACCACCACTCCGTTCAAGCCCTTTCCTGGAGGAAGTTGTACCTGAGCCGAGCCAAACTGAAAGCCTCCAGCAGAACCTCTGCTCTGCTCTCTGGATTTGCAATGGTAATATGTGTTTTATGGCTTTTTGAACCGTTAAGGTTTTTGGGTTGCCTCAAATCAACTATTAATCAGTGTTTTTCTCATGGGAAGAAGCAGGGAGTTGTTTCCTGAAGAGACAGGAGGCATCTGCCTGGGGACTTCTGTTTGGCTGCTGCTGCAAAGTTTGAGGCTGGCTCTCTCACTGCAGCAGGGATACATGAGCTGACAGCCAACCCACACACTCCCAAGTCAGACCTTTAAAAATACTAATCCCCTACCTGCAAGTGATCCTAAGTGCTCCAGCAGCATTGCTAAACAGCCCAGGACCTCCTTTGGCCCCGAGGCTGTCCGGTGCTGGCTGACCTCAAGGCTGCTCTTGGGTGTGGAGCACTTTCAGGCCCCTGTGGTTGCTGTGGTCCTGAATGTTATTTTAATTTCTCTGCGTGTTTTCTCAGGTCACGGTGTCTAAAATAAGGTGGAGGTTGGGTCACAGTCTGCCAAAGCGAAGTTTGCGTAGCGTGATCAGGGAGATCGTGTTCTGCCACTGAGGTGTGAGAAGAGGTCCTGAGCCTCAGACTTGGTGTCAGAGGGCTCTGCAGCCTGCAGGGAGCCAAACCTGGTATATTTTTGTCAGTGCTGCCTATTGGAAGTGATCCCTGGTGCTTGCTTTCCTCTGTGCAGCACTTGGGTGTTATTTGGAAGTGATTTGCATAGGTCAGAACCATGTCACGAGTGAGCAAATAAATAAGGCTGAGACAGTCAGTGGTCCAGTGCTCAGGCCTGTCTGAGCTGTGTGTTAAAACACCACCATGCTGTGTCAGTGGGTGCCCCTTTATCTCCCCTCATCTTTTGCTTACTGGGAGTGAGAATTGAAACCAGTTTGGGGGAGGTTTCCTGTACAGGAAGTGGGCAGGTCAGGTTGTTCCTGAGGTCTGTCAGCAGAGGGGCAGAGGGCAGTGCCTGGATGGCGTGGGACATAATGTGAAGATGTTTCATTCTGCAGCTCAGAAACTGGAAGGGAAAGACAGATCTCAGGAACTTTCCAGCTTTCTTGTTTTATTTTAGCTTCTTCCGCTGCTCTTTCCTCCCCCAGCCCCCTAGATCATGAATCATCCATAACATTACAACAGCCTGGGATGATGGAGTTGGTCACCCAAAGTGAAGCTGGGAAGCTGCAGGCGGGGGTTTCAGTGGGAGCAGGCTGGAGTGCAGACAGGGTGCTCAGTTGCTTTGTCATTGCTCTCCACTCACTGGCTGTGTGCAAAAGATGATCTTAAAAGCTTTTTACAAAGTCTGTGTTGGTTTGTAACCAAGCTTGTGTGGTTCTGCAGGGGCAGAAGGTCTCTCCTCTTTCTGAGAAAACTGGACGCTGTCCTGTAGTCTTCTCTCATGCGGGAGTTTTCTTACTCTAAAAAGCCTTTCACATGCATGCCTTATGTGCCTTGGAACTGGAGTTCTGTTGTGTCTGTTGTCTTTAGCATGACTATTAAATTAACATTTTGTGTTGCTGGGGAGTGATCTACCAGCATGGTCACACACGGTGTCCCTGCTGGTGGGGTGTGCTGTCACTGGCACCACTGGGACTCGGGTTTGCAGCCCACCCACACTGCAGGGCTGAACCACATCTCTGAAAACAAAGCACACTTTCTCAGCTCTCAGAGCAGAAAGTTGCTGAAAGTCCTTGGCAAACACTCAAAATTAACCACTGGTTTTACATTCTCTTTGAACTGTTTAAAGTGCAGTTGAATATACACAGGTACAAGTAGTGTTAATTGTGCTCACTAGCCTAACATAAGAAATAAACCTGAAATCAGTAACTAAGAAATAAAATCTCTTGCAATAAGGAATTCTCTTTATTAGCAAGCTTTTTTCCCCAGCTGATTGGAAAGCTGAGGTGTTTGTTCCTCCTGGGTTATTTCTCCACTGGTACACAGGAATTTAGCACACGGATGTTTACTCTCTAATAAGAGCACCTCTTTGGCTATTGATGAAAGAAGAGAAGTTATTTAGAGATAAATAGGTGTAGACGTGGCACTTAAGGACATGGTTTAGTGGTGGACTTGGCAGTGCTGGTGTAATGGTTGGATTCTGTGATCTCGAAGGTGTTTTCCAGTCTGAAGGATTCTGTGACTCTATTAAACAATTTCCCCAAAGCCTTGAGTGCATTTAACTACATAAACAAATGTCATCCGTGGCTTGGCTGTTGCTTTAGTTACCTCCCTGTCGGTGTGTTTGATGCAAGCTAGCTCCATATTGGCTGAAATTATTGCGAGCTGATGGATATTTAATCAACAGGCCATGGCTGTGATCCAGCTCCTTCTGGACAGGCTGCAGAATAATGCAAACCTTCCTCGTTACCATCTCTGGTATTTAGGGCAGAGCACTGGGCCAGGTCTGTTTGGAGGTGGGCTGTAGGGCAGCTGCATCTGCCCTGAGGAAGCTGCAGATAAAGGAAATTCAGAGGAAGCTTAGGAAACCTCCTTAATAATTTTCCTGATGGAAATAAGAGCTATTACTGCTAATCCATCTTCTCAATACTTAGCCAATTGATACAGGATATGTGTTTGATTAAAAAAAAACCCAAAACAAAACAAAAACCCTGACAGATCTACTGGAGTGATTGTTTTTACAGTCTGCCAAACCATCTGTGTGAATGTGTCATGGTTTATGTTAAGCCATTTGTCATCCTTTTGCTTGATATTATCTGTCCTGGTCTAAATTTCTCAAGATTAATAACATCTTTGTTGTGGACAGTCTGAGCTCTACTGGTCTAAGTCCCACCATCATTGCATGTAATTTAATTGCAGTTTAATTCTAAAATGTTGTGAGCCCTTGATCCTGTAATTCTGGAGTTCAGCTGGGTTATTCTCAAGCTTAAAATTAAGCCTGTGCTGAAATATCCCATGGCTTGGCAGAGAGCTCAGCCTTGCAAAGTTGCTTCTGGGAAGATGTTAAAATAAAGGGGGTTATTACATGGAAGAGTATAATTGTATCAAACGTGACATATTAATAGTTTTACAGGCTAGGCAGCATATTTAATGATTTTTAAATGGGTTATGTCAGCTTGTCCTCTTTCTCTTATCCCGGTCAGGGAATGACATGACAGCCTGTGCTGGGTAGAGCAATAAGAGCTCACTCACCTTTTCAGTACGTGTTTGGGTTAAATGAAGTGTTTTTCTGCCTTGCTGCCCTATCTGGATTGTTGGTGTTTTTCACTGAAATACCTCTTACTGAGCCATCAGTCAGTGTTAAAAATTCATCACATTGCACAGCTGAAGCTCACCCTGGGGAATAGGTTAGTCTGGGAGGAAACATCCAATTAGCTGAAGAGTGCTGCTCGTGTGAAGGATAACAAGCAGAAATTGATATGTTGACATCAGCCAAGCTTTCAGCTTTAATATAAAGCTATAAATTGGACATGCAGGTACAATTCCCATTCAGCTGTGTCTCTGGATATTACAGCACCCCATAATGAACAATGTACCTGCAGGTTTTCCTGGCTGATGGGGCGTGACTGGCAGCCACAGTGCTGTACAAATTCATTGTACAGTGAAGCAGAGAATAAGTCTGATCTCCTCCCTCTCAAATCAATATAAGGGGAACTGCAAAGGGAACGTACACAAGGCAACGTGGAATCTGTTCTAATTAAATTGACCGTGCTATTGATAGTGAAGCCAGTCCTGTGTTAGGATTTTCTCTGCTGTACAACAAGAACTACTGTAAATTGCAACCAGGAGCTGATAAAAACAAACAAAAGTAAAACCCTGACTTGTTCTTGATCAGAACAGAAGGCTGGGAATGCCCAAGAGCTGTCAGAGTATTTTTGGTGTCTCTAATGTCTTGAATAGTTGATGTAGCTATAAAATCCAGACTTGTAGAGATTGACCATTTTCTACACGTGTTGTATCTTGTTTGCTGGTAAATGTGTTCAGACTTGACTGTGATCTGATGGGTTTCAGAGCAAATGTAAGGCAGCAGTCATGCCAGCTGGTTTCCATTCCTTTTAATCCTTTCAAGGCTTCCAACAGGGACAACATGAGCATACCCCTAATCTTCCAGTGCCTAAATAATATTATGAACAAAGTAATGCCAGAGCAAGTGGTGCAGGTGATTATACATAGCCTGAAATGGCTGCTCAGGGGAGTCTCATGTGAAGCCTGGATAACATAATCATGAGTCAGTTCTGCAAAAATCCTTCTGTGTCCCAGAATCGAGTGCATATTTGAAACTTTGCCTTCTCATGATGTTCTTTTAGAGGGGCTTCTTTCCAGCAAGCTGTGCTGTGCTGGAGCAGCAGGTCAGCTGGGATCACCAGAGGTTTTCCTTGCTGCCAAGAGAGTTAACTTCTCTGCAAATCTTGAAGTGCAGCTACAAGATCCAAGCCAGCTGCTAGAGAGGAATGTTTGGTAGTCTTGTCCACTGCTTTTCTATCTTTTCTTAGCAGAAGGTTTGTGCAGTCCTTTCAGGGATGCCACCACACAGAAGTACTGGTTTGCTTCACAGGTAGCTTAATTAATTGTAAAAATTCTTATGGTAAACCAGTTAACAGGACTCCAGTTCTGATCTCAAGAGCCTTCTGCTCTCTTGCACATATTCTGCTTCTTAAGCTTTATTTGATTAAAGTAAAAATAGCTTTAGAGACCTGCTGTGTGATAGCTCTTGTTTGGGGAAGCAGACTCCTGAGTTGCTGAGCACACCCATAAGCCAGTAGCTGTCCACTTCTGCTGGGTGTATCACTAAGTTATTACCTCTCAAGGGAGAAATTTGAGGATATAAATAACTTAAAAGTTATTTATCTGGGCATATTTGTAATAAAAACAAACGTAAACTGTTCTGAGAATAGAAGGCAGTTATTTTAACTATGGGCTAACTTAAATTGTAAAGTAGCTTGTGAGCTTCCCATGGTGGGTAGTGAAACCTGGCTGGCCACTGGCCAGAGGAGCTGCTTGGTTTTGCTTTTCTTTACACGCCTGAAGTTGAAACTTCCTGCGCTGCAGCCGCAAGGAAGGAGTGGCAGTAGAGGGTGTGATGGTGGGTTATAGCAGGCTGGTAGCTGCCTCCCAGCCCTGTGTGGCATCTAATTAACTCCTTCTGCTGTGTGCTGGGTTTGGGGCAGTTCCTGTGGCTCGTGATGGCAAGGAGAGATGTGTTTTTTGAGAAAACCACGGTCTCAGAAAGGCCACTGCGCTTGGTGCGTGCTCCTCATGGGTGACAGAAGTGATCCATCTGGGCTGCCATTCCAAAAAGCTCTGGAGTGTGTACTTGACCTTAGGTGTTCTTCCTGAATCAAGATGCTTTCCTGGCTGAAAGCCTTGAAAAGAGGAAAGCCAGCAGGTGTTGACAATCTCTTTGTTCCTTCCCCAGGTCGCCATGGTGGAAGTACAGCTGGAGGTGCAGTACAAGTACCCCCAGATGCTGCTGATCGCCTTCAGCGCCTGCACGACGGTGCTGGTGGCCGTTCACCTCTTTGCCCTCCTCATCAGCACCTGCATCCTGCCCAACGTGGAGGCTGTGAGCAACATCCACAACCTGAACTCCATCAGCGAGTCCCCGCACGAGCGCATGCACCCCTACATCGAGCTGGCCTGGGGCTTCTCCACCGTCCTGGGAATCCTCCTTTTCCTTGCTGAAGTCGTTCTCCTGTGCTGGATAAAATTCCTGCCGGTGGGCTCCATCCTGAAAAACGAGACCACCAACGTGGAGAAGCCCAGCAGCCACGCAGGGTGGCAGTCGGCACTGGTGTCCACCATCATCATGGTCCCCGTGGGTCTGATTTTTGTCGTCTTCACCATCCACTTCTACCGCTCTTTGGTGCGGCACAAAACGGAGAGGCACAACCGGGAGATCGAGGAGCTCCACAAACTGAAAGTGCAGCTGGATGGGCATGACAGAGGCATGCAGGTGGTGTGACAGAGCCTGCTCACAGCTCAGCCAGGGCTGAGAGCAAAATACCTGGTCTGCTGCTTGGTGAGATGCATCAGGGATGGATTTTATTGAGGCTTAAATCTGTAAATGCTACTTGCCTGCCATTTCTATCTGTGGGTTCTTGTGCTGTTCCACATGCTGGGGGCTCTGCCCTGGTTCTGGTCCCACACACTTGGTACTTAAGTTGACACTGCCGTGGTGTTCAAGGTCAAAACTTTTATCTACCTTAACATTGGTAGCCAAAAATCTGTATTTTTTACAAATGCAATATTCCGTTGCCAAGAGTGAAACTGCGTCGGCTGTCTCAAGAGCCAGAGAGAGTGTGTGTGTGTGTGTGTGTGTGTGTGTGTAGGACCTGTCTTACATGTCAGAACTCCCTGGCTGTCAGTGCAGCCACAATTAGCTGGCAGCTCGTTCCTAGAGCAGAGCTGATTAATGTGGGTACCTGCAGCTGACTCGACATCCAGGAAAGCACAACAGAAACTGAGAATGTGGATCACCAATGTCCCAAAGCAAGTATTCCATAACCAGAAGGAAAATAGCCTTAGCTTTTATGTTCTTTTCTTGCTATTCTTTGCTAGGTTTTTAAAGCTTGGGATGTAGAATTCTGAACTGCAGGAGGCTTGGGAAGTTCTCTCATACTTTCCTCAGCAGCATCTGTCATCTTAGGTTGAGTAAGTGCCAAGATCATGTGTTTTTTCCCAATAAGAGGCAAAAGTGCCCAGGGAAGGCTTACAGGTGTTTTAGTTTTAACAAGGACATTCTTAAAACAGAACAGTGACAGGGAATTTAATGAGACAAGACTTTGAAGGACTAACAAAGCAAGTTTCAAGGAGGTAAAGGAATGACAGCAAGTATTGTAGAAATCTGCCACTGTGTCTTCTTCATTTGTGCATTGTTCTGATGCCTTTTGCCTGGTTTGCTGGAGAGAACAAGCCCAGTCCTGTGTTATTTCATCACTTGGGGTTTTGTTTTGTTTTTAGTTTTGTTTTTTTTTTTTTTTAATTGGCTGTAGCATTTTTCTGTCAGAAATGAATGCTTCCCTCTCCCTCCACCAAAGCAGACGACTCCTCTGGTGGAACCTGGAGCTGTCCTGGCGTGCCTGATGGAGCTGGATCTGGCAGGAATGTTGTGTGCCATTAAAGAGCTATCCCTTTCCTTTGAGCTCATTTCTTTTTTCAGCAGCTGAGACAATGACACTTGCATGTCTGTGTTGCTTAGCAAGGGAAGCTTGTAAATTCCATAGCATCATCGTGGGTGAAAACTTCTGTAAAAAACACCCCAATTTTAGGATTTTTGGTAACTTTGTGGAGAGAAAATAGTGTTTTGCAATCATCAGCTCTTTTAAGGGAAAGTCAGGCTTTCTGACACAGAGGGCTGCAAGAAGCATAAGCACATTTTCTTGGCCCTGATCCTGTGCTGGTTTCCTCCTCCTCTGCACTCCAAAACTCCAGTTTCAGAATCTCTGAGGCCTTATAGGTTTCTGAAGTCATTAAGGATGTTTATAACATTCTATTTAACCCTGGGCCCTTATTCCACTGGGATTTGAGGGCTCTAATGGCAGTGTATTACATGTCAGCTTCCCAGAAGGGAGAGTACATGCAAACCCCAGGGCAGCAGGGTGAGACTATCCCAATATTCCCCTCTGGCGAGGGCCTTAGGAAGCCAGCTCTCATCTCTCTTGTTTACATGTGAATGTGAGCATTGCTGAACAAGTTGCTTAGCACTGTATCTGTGGCTTTCATCTGCTGTTCTTGCTGCAGTTGGCATGTACCATATTGGCTGATGTGCAGCAAAGAAAATAGTCTTTGTGTGCTAAATGACTAATCTGTACTCATGTGCATATGCAAAAAAAAAAGGAGTGTCCTCCAGGAAGTGGGGTGGTCGTGAAATTCATATCAACTCCCCAGGACTCTGCCCTCTCTCCCTCCTCTTTTTGCCATAATAAAAATTAAAAGGTTTATACAACAGAATCAGAGTTGAGTTTTCTGCCAAGTGCTACACGTGTTGGCTCCTCTGCCAACAGAATTTCTGTTGAGAGGCCAGAGCCAGACCAGATGGGATGAGTCTCTTATCTGTACTTTGTACTCTTCTTTAACATCAGTAATAGTAGAACCTTGTGTGATGAGGGCCTCAGAAGGCTGTCAAAGAAAGTATTGCACCATTTTTGCAATATTTTTTTGAAAAGCATCCCCCTGTGCATTCAGTGCTGCAAAAGCAATGCAGTTTGTCTAGAAACAGACAGATCACTAATTTAATTTTTTGCAAACGTAATAAACTTCAGCAAATTGAGAAAAGCAGCGGAAACTGCTTTGATTTTGTAGATTAGCTCTTTCAGGCTTGGGTGGGATTGCATTCAAGATCAGCCTCAAGACAGCACATCTGTGACTGGAGTGGGACCACCTTACTCCAGCAGTGAGTCTGAGGTGCAGTTTGGGATGGTGTCCTAAGGGCAAATGCTCCTAAAACAGAATTATAATGTGCTTTCCTGTCTTTGCTTGCAGCTGTTTCTTGTGTCTTTCTGGGCACTGAGTTCTCCCTGCCATAGGAAGCTCATGGGGGTATTTTTGCTCTTCTCAAGGTTACCCATTCAGCCATTGCTTTTCTTGCTCCTGCCTCTGTTTTTGCAATTTATTTACATTTTCATCACTCTTGGGTCCAGACATGTGTTGTAGAAATGTTACCTGTGGTACCAGCCACAGGAGTTCATCCATAAAGGAAGGAGTAGGGATGTTGTAGTTGTCCAGCTGGGTATTTCTGTGCTACAACACCAGAAAATCCTTGCTCCTGCTGCTGCCCCTGTGGCTGTCAGCAGGATTGCCATCAGTCAAGCCAGCCTTTCCACACTGTCCCTGCTGTCCCAGCAGGGCTGGCAGCTCTCTGTGTCACGTCTGGGTCTGTCTGCCTGTGCCCGGCCACGTCTGTCCTGTGCTGTCACCTCTCTTTCGTTCCTGGGGTGTCTGTCGTTCTTGGAGTGTCCCAGGTTTTGTGTGGCTGCAATCCTGCAATTCCTGCATGGAGATGCTTCTCCCGAGGGTTCCACTCTCAGCTGGGGACGTGTTGAGGATCTGCCCTGGCGTGTGTTGGCTTTCTGCTCCAGCTTTGGGCTCTGGCTCGCTGCAGTCTGGGGTGGCTGCTGCCCTAATTCTCAGACCCATTGGGCTATGGCTCTCTGGACCAGCTTTGTTTGAGCTATTTCTCCAATTCTTGCACTGGAGCTTAGCACAGGGACAGCCATGATCTTGCTTCAGAGTCTTCCTCCAGACTTTTTTTTTTGGCCAGTTTTTGCCCAGCAGGAAAATGCCTCTGCTGGCTCCAGCAGAGCCTGCAGTCCTCTGCAGGGACCCTGCCTGCCCACTCTAAAGCAGGGAAGGAACTCTCAAGGACAGGGGAACAACAATTCTTTGTATCATTCCCGTGCACTGGCCTTGGTTAGGAGGCAATTCCTCTCTCCCTTTAGCAGAGCAAAGAAAGAGGCACGACCTCGAGCTGGAGGGATCAGGATCGGGTTCTCTCTTTGCCGTATTCAGTGGCAGCTCTCACTCTGATCTCCCTATTTTTAACATCGCCCCGGGCCAGGGCTGGCTCCCTGTTTCAGTGGAGAGATGTCTCAGAGACATCTCTCTGTTAGGGATGGAGTAATGCTGGATTTGAGCATGTGAGCGCTCACATACCTGGGAGTGTTTCTGGAGAGCACCTGGGTGGGTACAGCTGCAGAGCAAACATCCTTCCACATCCTTCCTTTACCTGGCTCTGGGATTTGGGGATGGGCAATCCCAGGTTGCCTCGAGGTTACCTGTGCTGGGCTGGGGGGTGGAGGTGCTCCTCCTGCCTTTCACCATGTGTTTTCTTTTCTTTTCCTGCCTTCAAGCAAACAAGCAAACAAAAGACCTTGGAGTTTCCTTGCTGCTGTAGATTCCTTATCTTTTAAATCTCATTGCATCAACTTCTAAGACAGCTTCCTCAACACCCCCTCAAGCTGGAATCAAACTCAGCTGGGCCAGAAGATATTTTCTGATTAACTCACAGGTCCTCTATAGCCATTTCAAAGCAGTTTCAGTAATTAAAATTGACTGGCTGGATTTGGAGAGTATTTCCCTGAATCTGTGTGTCCAGCTGGGAGCTTGCTTTCTACCCAGAGATGTGACAGCCGTGAGTGCTAAGAGAAAAAAAACAAACTGTATTTTAGCTTTGCCTATTCTTGTCTTACCTCTGCATGAACAATATTTAATGTAGAACAACGAATGTATCTCAATTATTGTCCAGCTGTGTGAGAGAAACTGGATAAACTTGCTCACTTTTATGCTTCTTGGTGATTTCAGACTGATTTTTTTGAGAGGCAGCTCAAGTCCTCCAGCATCCTCTATGGGTTAACTCGGGTTCTGCCTTTTTGAAAAAAAACTTGGTCAGATATTATCATTCTCCTTTTGCAATGCATAAGGAGATAACAATTAGATGCACTTCCTTTTAATGAGGATCTGGGTCTTGTGTTTTACAAGAAGGTTAAGGAGACAAAGAACTATAACAGGAAGACTATTAAAGTTTGTCTACTGTTAATAATACCAGCTTAGTGGACAAAATTACTTCTAAGAGCTCATTAAGATTAAAACATCTTAATACTTTTCTCAGATTTCTATGGTACTTGACAGTAAGTTGTTTATGTTTTGTGACACTGTAAACCAGGATTTTCTGGCATTTTTTTCTGATTTTCTGGCTTTTTAGGAGAGAATGTACATAAAGTTTTAAGGAGTAATACTGAACAGATGGGTGTGTAATTGCATTTTGATCTAAGGATGATGCCCAAGAGGCTGTTTAACAGGTGAAAAATGTTGAAAGACTGGCACAGCGATGCCTGTGTAGTGACTAGATTAAGTTCTGGACTTCAACAACACCAAGAAAATGCCCTCACTTTTTGGCTCAGTATTTAATTATTTGCATTTTTTCACATTTAAGATACCAGCTAGGAAGAGCTGGAATCTTCTGGCAAGAACAGCAGCTTCCTGTATAGTTCAATCAAGGCAGAAAAATTCAGCCAGCAAATGCAGAGCACAAGATGAACTAACACTGTGTAAGTTATTGTGGCAATCTGATTCATCAGAATCCATCATCTGCTTTCACTGTCGAGAGAATGGAGCAGCAGGGACACACACAGAAAGTGTTATAGCAGCCTGAGAGCATAATATAGATGTAAAAGGGAGCGTTGGAAATTGGGGCCAAGCATTAATGGCAACACTTTGCTGCAGTGTGGTGAGCAGAGAGCAGATGAATGGAGAGGCTGGGAACTGAAGGGCGAGGAGGATCCAGGTGCAGTGTTTGCGCTCTCTCTGTGACAGCCTGTGCT